TCTGGGATGTATGGTAGCGTGAGCCAACTTGGAGTTGGTAATGCCATCCTCATAATTGTTCAACTYTGCTTTGCCGGTATCATTGTTATATGCTTAGATGAACTTCTTCAGAAAGGATATGGTCTAGGATCTGGTATTTCTCTTTTCATAGCAACCAATATTTGGTGAGTATCTAATTTGTATTTCTTTTTACTCTGCAATATTATTCTTGTGGACATTTACCCAAACAGTTTTRYTTCTTTCTGCAGTGAGAACATCATTTGGAAGGCTTTTAGCCCCACAACTATTAATAGTGGTCGTGGAGCTGAATTTGAAGGTGCTGTTATTGCTTTGTTCCATCTGCTGATAACCCGGACTGATAAAGTCCGAGCTCTTCGTGAGGCTTTCTACCGACAGAACCTTCCGAATGTGACCAATTTACTAGCTACAGTCTTGATCTTCCTTATTGTCATCTATTTCCAAGGGTTCCGTGTTGTCTTGCCTGTGAGGTCAAAGAATGCTCGTGGACAGCAAGGCTCATACCCAATCAAGCTGTTCTACACCTCCAATATGCCCATTATTCTACAATCTGCACTTGTGTCCAACCTTTACTTTATTTCTCAGGTAAAGCAGGAAGACAATTTTGTTCTTCAAGTCTGGAATTTGGAGTCATTTTCCTTGTTTTAACATTATGGAGGTTCTAATGCTATTTGTTTCCATACAGCTTCTGTACAGAAGGTACAGTGGAAACTTCTTCGTCAATCTGCTAGGTAAGTGGAAGGAATCTGAATATTCAGGCGGTCAATTTATCCCTGTTGGTGGTCTTGCCTACTACATCACYGCACCATCAAGGTGGTTACTRATTTTAATTCTTTTACTTCCTGAGTGTATTAGCAGTGTGGAGGATTCCTTTTGTGCATCTYTTTTTACTGCGAGTCTTATGTTCCAATATTTGCATTGTGATTTTCAGCTTGGAAGATATGGCAGCAAATCCTTTTCATGCTCTATTCTATCTTGTGTTTATGCTATCAGCATGTGCACTCTTCTCAAAAACCTGGATTGAAGTATCTGGATCATCTGCTAGAGATGTAGCCAAGCAGTTGAAGGTATTGTTATGTGGCCTTTGGTTTTCTTAATTGTGTGGATGTTTTTTGGTTTATTTTGAATTTACAAGCATAAACAGTTATAGACGCTGTTGGGTCTTGTGTGTTCTTATCTGGGTTTCAAAGTACATCATTTATATCTGGGGTTGTGGTAATCTTATCCAAGTTAAACAGTGTTTGACTTTTGAGTATTTATGGACTTTTTACTTAAGATTCTTGTTCAAAATTTCATGGTGGTTTTGATGTATGATGTTGTAGGAGGTGACACCATACATTATGTGTTCCCTAAGTTAAAGCATGCGTTATGTGTATTGGTGCAACTATAAACGATAATGAAAATGGTCTCGAAGTTTGAACAAGTGAACAGTATGTTTTGGACTACGTGTTTGTGCCATTTACATGTTTTTTTCCCATGAGCAGGAACAACAAATGGTGATGCCCGGACATAGAGAGTCGAATTTGCAGAAGGAATTGAACCGCTACATACCCACTGCGGCTGCCTTTGGAGGCATGTGCATTGGTGCATTGACAGTGCTGGCAGATTTCATGGGAGCAATTGGTTCCGGAACTGGTATTCTGCTTGCAGTCACGATCATCTACCAGTACTTCGAGACATTTGAGAAGGAAAGAGCCAGTGAGCTGGGGTTCTTCGGTCTCTAAGTCCCTTCTTGCCCTACGGTTGTTTCCTTTACAAAAGAAATGGGTGGTRGTGCCAACGAGCTGCCCAACAGTTTTGGTGGGCCGAGAGATGTAAGTAGATCCTCCCTTTTTTAACATCAGAAGGTTAGAGATTGAAATCAAGGTCGCAAGGTAGTCCAGCTGTAGGTTTCTTTCCCTTTTTGCTTTTTG